CGATAGGGGCATTTCTGGAGGCCACCTTTCGGATTTCGGGGGTGATGGCCAAAGGAGGTGTGCTTTGTGGTGGATATCCAGCCGCCCTCTCTTTTGTCCACCGAGGTAGCTCAGCAGATGTGATATCGCTATCCCAGATTGCTGGTTTACTGGCATGAAGGGTAGGGTATGGCACGGGTTCCATGCCGCATCTGCACTACTTGCGGTGTTGAGGTCCTCTTGGGCACGGAGGGAGATTTCCGGCCCTTTCATTCCTCCTAGGAGCTATTCCTCCCAGTTCCCCCATTTTTGTTCTTTTTCTATTTTTATTTTCTTTTCTTCTTTCTTTTTTCCTTAAAAACAAAAAGAAAGAAGTAACCTAATCATGGAGGACCCAATCCTTGAACCTGCTACCCCCGGGCCACTTCCTGATACCGCACCCCGTTCTGACCCTGGCTTATTTTTTACCACTCCTCGGACACTCCTGATGCCCTGTACCTCTTGCTGGTGCTGTTTCATCACCTGCTTCAGGTACTGGGGTTTTGGCTGACTCCTTTAATACGTCTGACCTCTGCTATTCTTTGACTATGCTTCCTGCCTCTCCCTCTATGGTGAGGCAATTTTCAAATTACCAGCCTGTCCTACGTCGGACCAATTCCGGTCCCACTCCTAAACGCCCACGACAATTGTCTGATGATACTTCCTTGCTTCCTTCTCATTCTACTCAGAAAAGACTGACACGTCAGGCACTCCCTTTCCATGCTCAGTTTCAGAATGCACAATGGACTAAATTCTTTACTTTACGACTGACTTCCTCTACTGCCTATCTTTCCGACCACAGTATTGGCAAGGCGCCATGTTGGTAGAGATATATCCTTTCATGCTCTCAAGAGTGGTACACGTATCATCATTGTCCAGAATGCTAACCAAGCTCATGACCTTTCTCTTCTCTCAAATATCGATGTTATTCCTGTCGCTATCGGAAAACATCATTCACTCAATTCTTGTAGTGGCACTGTCATTCTGCCCTATACCATTGTCCAACAGAACTTCCAGACATGTGGCGATGACATTCTAGAACAGCTGGAACTCCAAGACCTCCCGATTCACAAAGTAGATACTTGTGTCCTTCCTTCCTGTGAGCAGAAATGATACCCTTGCAATGTAGCTCGATTAACTTTCGACTGCCATGAACTCGCATCCTCTGTTTATATAGTGGTACATTGTTTACAAGTTCGAAAGGTGATCCCTACACCGCAACAGTGTAGAAATTGCTGGCATTTTGGTCATCCAGCAAAATATTGCAGGTCTATAGCTGAATGCCCAGTCTGTGGTGCCGATGACCATTCCAGTATGTTTTGTAGTCTACCTCCCTCTTGCCTGAATTGTAATGAGACTCACCCATCTTACTCTCGCCGTTGCCAAGTTTACTTAAATGATCGAGAAATCCGTTGCCTCAAAGAGGCAGAAGGTTTCCCCTATGCTATGGCAGTTTCTCATCTATGCCTCCAAGGGAGACTACTCGTGTTTCTAAACATCCCCCAACCTCTGGAGTCCCATCTTCTGCAGCCTCCTCTAGGGTTATCCCTTCCATAGTTACTCCTCTCTCTAATTCTTTTGTTGTCCTGGACTTACACGTCCCTTCCTCAACACCTCAGTCTGTTCTCACTTCTTCATGTTCGCCCTCACAAGTTCCGATATTGACAAGACCTCGTACAACACCTCTTCCCAATTGCCCCTCACTCCTCCTCAGAAGAAAAAATCCCTATTGCTCAAATCTCCTTTAACCCCTCCTTCCCTTCTTCCACCTCCACATTTTACCTTTCCGGTCTTTGTACCTGGTTCTTCACCTCTCACTGGCTCTGTTACAAGTGTGGAGGTTCACCCTCCTTCTTAAACTGTACCTTCCTCCCCTGCCCCCTCCCAGGTTTCTTCCTCTTCTGTCTCCTCCCACACTTCTTCTCCAGTTCCCTTTACCCTTTCGTCCCCTCCCCTACTTTGGTACAGTCCATTGCTGTCCCAATCTTTACTCACCCTCCTCCTTCCATCTCCAATATTGTCTCCCATACAACGTTTTTGTCTTCCAAAAACACTTGAAGTTATATCAGAATATACTGAAGAAACTAAACCATCAATGGACACTGAACCACCTCCTGTTCCTCCTGTTCCCTCTCCTCCATCTGTGCAACTCCTATCTTCGCAGTGTCCCATTCCTTCGCTGCTTGAATGTTTTCCACTGCCTCCACATGTGGACTTTTCTAACCCCTCTAGTCCGTAGGTACCTTTACCTGCAGATTTCTTGTATCTTTCTCGTTCCCAATCATGGCCTATTTATAGTGGAATATCCGCAGCCTCAGAGGTAATTGGAGTGAGCTTCAGTTGTTGCTCTCCCGTTTTTCCCCTGTTGATGTTTGCTTACAAGAACCAAAATTACACTCTGCTGTTATCTATCCCATCTCAGGCTATAATTTACTGTATTCTTCGGATCCTTTTCCTGATGGGACCTTTAATGAAAGTGCGCTTCTTCTACGCACTGATATTCTGTACCATCAGCTATTTTTTCGTACTTCGCTGCATTACACTGCAGCCCGTATCCACTTGCATAGGTGGTATACATTCTGTTCTTTGTATCTCTCTCCTTCTCGGGTATTATCTATCTCGGATATTGCCTTTCTTGTTTCGTCCTTACCTCCACCACTTCTGTTACTTGGCGATTTTAATGCCCACCATTTGCTCTGGGGGGTCTCACTGTAACTTCCGTGGCATTCAATTAGAGGCTTTTCTCGCTTCTCACCCTCTCCATGTTTTAAATATGGGTACTCCCGTCCATTTTGATCCTCGTACTCATACTGTCTCTTGCATCGATCTCTCGGTCTGCTCTTCCTGCACTGCACTAAACTTCACCTGGTCTGTTCTCCCAGACTTACATGACAGCAATTATTTTCCAATCATTCTTACTTCTCCTTCATATTCACCACCTCTTCGAAGCCCACCCTGGCAATTTGATCGAGCAAACTGGGACCTTTACTCGCAACTAACTGCTTTTAGTGAGGTTCCTTCTTCGTCCTGCATTGATGAGTTTTACACCTTTTCTCGACCTCAGTTTTAACTGCAGCTTCTCATTCTATATACCCCGGGCAGGCATTCTCTGAAGTGCGTGCCTTGGTGATCTGCTTGTGCTCGGGCAGTACATTTGAAGCGTGCTGCATGGGGCAGGTACTGGTACAATAGAACCAGAGAGAGACTTCTTGATTTCAAGCTGAAGCGTGCCGTCGCTCGCCGTGTCATCCGTGACGCTAAACGCACTTGCTGGCAAGATTATGTTTCCACCATTACCTGTGCTTCCTCTATGAGTGCAGTCTGGAAAAAAGTACAGAAACTGAGTGGTAAATACTCTCCCGACCCGACTCCTGTTCTCCAGGTTGCCGGTGTTGATATAGCAAACCCTCTTGACATTGTCACTGAAATTGGTAATCATCTCGTCTGTATTTCTCAGGGGCTCCATCTATGCCCCTCGTTTCTTTCCTCAAAGTCTGCCAGAGAGCTAGTGCCCTTAGACTTTTCTTCTCCCGAAGAAGAATCTTATAATGTGCCTTTTACACTTCTGGAACTGGAGGCAACACTCTCAGCTTGCCGATCATCAGCAGCTGGGCCTGACGACATCCATATTCGGATGTTACAACATTTACATCAGTCAGCTTTTGCAGTCCTCTTACAACTCTTTAATCTTATCTGATTACAAGGAGTTCTTCCCCAGCTGTGGAAATCTGCCATTGTCCTATTTTTCCACAAACCAGGTATTACGGGAGATGATGCTTCCCACTACCGTCCCATTGCTCTTACCAGTGCAGCTTGCAAGGTGTAAAGTAAAAGGACACAAGTGCAACTAATGTGACATTTTATTGTGGCAACGTTTCGCTCTCCAGGAACTTTCTCAAGCCGATACAAAGTAGTATATGGACACAGAGGGTATATAAAGGCTCAGAGTGAGGTGCAATACTAGTGGTAGTAGTAGTAGTAGTGACAAAAGTTGTAGTAGTAGTAGTAGTACAATATGGTAGAGCAATTAATTTGTACATGAGTAAAAGGATACAAAAGCTATTACTTGGGTAACATAAAAATAGGTTGGACAAATATAGACTGGATAGAGAAGGCCTGTTTCAGTGTTCACTCTCTGTAATATGCTTTGTGTAGTATAACAGGAGAGACTATGTGATGGCAGGGTTTACTGTTTTCAGGAGGATTCATGCTAAGACTTCAGAGATGGTGAAGCTGCCGTTGTTTTGTTTAATTGTATTCGAAA